TAGGCCCTTGTTCTTGAGATTTTGCACACGCTAGGCCCTTGCTCTTGCAATTTTGCACACGCTGGGCCCTTGTTCTTGCAATTTTGCACACGCTAGGCCCCTGTTCTTGCAATTTTGCACACGCTATGCCCTTGTTCTTGCAATTTTGCACACGCTATGCCCTTGTTCTTGAAATTTTGCACACGCTAGGTCCTTGTTCTTGCAATTTTGCACTTGCTAGGCCCTTGTTCTTGACATTTTGCACATGCTAGGCCCTTGCTCTTGTAATTTTGCACTTGCTTGGCCCTTGTTCTTGCAATTTTGCACAAGCTAGGCCCTTGTTCTTGCAATTTTGCACATGCTAGGCCTTTTTTCTTGCAATTTTGCACACGCTATACCCTTGTTCTTGCAATTTTGCACACGCTAGGCCCTTGTTCTTGAAATTTTGCACACGCTAGGCCCTTGTTCTTGCAATTTTGCACACGCTAGGCCCTTGTTCTTGCAATTTTGCACACGCTATGCCCTTGTTCTTGCAATTTTGCATGCGCTAGGCCCTTGTTCTTGCAATTTTGCAGACTCTATGCCCTTGTTCTTGCAATTTTGCACGCGCTAGGCCCTTGTTCTTGAAATTTTGCAGACGCTAGGCCCTTGTTCTTGCAATTGTGCACTCGCTAGGCCCTTGTTCTTGCAATTTTGCACACGCTAGGCCCTTGTTCTTGCAATTTTGCACACGCTAGGCCCTTGTTCTTGCAATTGTGCACACGCTATGCCCTTGTTCTTGCAACTTTGCACACGCTAGGCCCTTGTTCTTGCTATTTTGCACACGCTAGGCCCTTGTTCTTGAAATTTTGCACACGCTAGCCCTTGTTCTTGCAATTTTGCACTCGCTAGGCCCTTGTTCTTGCAATTTTGCACACGCTAGGCCCTTGTTCTTGGAATTTTGCACACGCTAGGCCCTTGTTCTTGCAATTTTGCACAAGCTAGGCCCTTGTTTTTGAAATTTTGCACACGCTAGGCCCTTGTTCTTGCAATTTTGCACACGCTAGGCCCTTGTTCTTGAAATTTTTCACACGCTAGGCCCTTGTTCTTGCAATTTTGCACAAGCTAGGCCCTTGTTCTTGCAATTTTGCACACGCTAGGCCCTTGTTCTTGCAATTTTGCACACGCTAGGCCCTTGTTCTTGAAATTTTGCACACGCTAGGCCCTTGCTCTTGCAATTTTGCACACGCTAGGCCCTTGTTCTTGCAATTTTGCACACGCTAGGCCCTTGTTCTTGCAATTGTGCACACGCTAGGCCCTTGTTCTTGCTATTTTGCATACGCTAGGCCCTTGTTCTTGCAATTTTGCACACGCTAGGCACTTGTTTTTGCAATTTTGCACACGCTAGGCCCTTGTTCCTGAAATTTTGCACGCTCTAGGCCCTTGTTATTGAAATTTCGCACACGCTTGGCCCTTGTTCTTGCAATTTTGCAAACGCTAGGCCCTTGTTCTTGAAACTTTGCACACGCTAGCCCTTATTTTTGCAATTTTGCACTCGCTAGGCCCTTGTTCTTGCAATTTTGCACACGCTAGGCCCTTGTTCTTGGAATTTTGCACACGCTAGGCCCTTGTTCTTGCAATTTTGCACACGCTAGGCCCTTGTTCTTGCAATTTTGCACTCGCTAGGCCCTTGTTCTTGCTATTTTGCACACGCTAGGCCCTTGTTCTTGCAATTTTGCACACGCTAGGCCCTTGTTCTTGCAATTTTGCACACGCTAGGCCCTTGTTCTTGCAACTTTGCACACGCTAGGCCCTTGTTCTTGCAATTTTGCACACGCTATGCCCTTGTTCTTGAAATTTTGCACATGCTAGGCCCTTGTTCTCGAAATTTTGCACACGCTAGGCACTTGTTCTTGAAATTTTGCACGCGCTAGGCCCTTGTTCTTGAAATTTTGCACACGCTAGGCCCTTGTTCTTGAAATTTTTCACTCGCTAGGCCCTTGTTCTTGCAATTTTGCACACGCTAGGCCCTTGTTCTTGAAATTTTGCATACGCTAGGCCCTTGTTCTTGCAATTTTGCACACGCTAGGCCCTTGTTCTTGAAATTTTTCACACGCTAGGCCCTTGTTCTTGCAATTTTGCACACGCTAGGCCCTTGTTCTTGCAATTTTGCACACGCTATGCCCTTGTTCTTGCAATTTTGCACACGCTAGGCCCTTGTTCTTGCAATTTTGCACACGCTATGCCCTTGTTCTTGCAATTTTGTACACTCTAGGCACCTGTTCTTGCAATTTTGCACACGCTATGCTCTTGTTCTTGCAATTTTGCACATGCTATGCCCTTGTTCTTGTTATTTTGCACACGCTAGGCCCTTGTTCTTGAAATTTTGCACACGTTAGGCCCTTGCTCTTGAAATTTTGCACTCGGTAGGCCCTTGTTCTTGCAATTTTGCACACGCTAGGCCCTTGTTCTTGCAATTTTACACACGCTATGCCCTTGTTCTTGCAATTTTGCACACGCTCGGCCCTTGTTTTTGCAATTTTGCACTCGCTTGGCCCTTGTTCTTGCAATTTTGCACACGCTAGGCCCTTGTTCTTGCAATTTTGCACACGCTATGCCCTTGTTCTTGCGATTTTGCACGCGCTAGGCTTTTCTTCTTGAAATTTTGCACACGCTAGGCCCTTGTTCTTGCAATTGTGCACACGGTAGGCCCTTGTTTTTGAAATTTTGCACATGCTAGGCCCTTGTTCTTGAAATTTTGCACACGCTAGGCCCTTGTTTTGAAATTTTGCACACGCTAGGCCTTTGATCTTGAAATTTTGCACGCGCTAAGCCCTTGTTCTTGAAATTTTGGGTGCCTCATGTACCTGATGACCTGTACACGACCTGACCTTGCATACCCTGTTAGCATCTTGGCACGCTATGTTGCTCCTGGGAGACACCGACCAGAGCACATGGCTGCAGCGAAGAGGGTGTTGCGCTATGTGTGCTCAGCTCCAGCTGTGAGGCTGAGATCTACGCAGGGGCCATGGATGCACAGGAGCTTCGCTGGCTCACCTACCTGCTGACTGACCTAGGAGAGCAGCCTCGTTCTCCTCCAGTTCTGTACGTAGACAACAAGGCCATGCTGGCCTTGTGTCGGGAGCACAGACTGGAGCACAGAACGAAGCGCATTGCTCTACGCTACTTCCTGGCTCGTGAGCTGCAGCAGCTTGGTCAGCTCCGCCTCACCTACGTGGCCTCTGAGGCCAACACTGCTGATATCTTCACCAAGGCCCTTCCGCCTTGTGATCATCAGCGCTTCTCTACTTTGCTAGGTCTTGTGCCTACCTGGCCTCACTTGCTCATTTCTTGATCTTGTTTGTACTGTACTCTTTGTATACCTGCACTTGCTTGTTTACCTTTATATATATGACTTGCATGTGAACTGGCCTTGTGGCCTTACTCTTGTGCTCGGACTGTGTGGTGACTTTGTGTTCCACCCTAAGCTTGCTTTGCTTTGCTTGACTGGTCTTGTGACCACTTGTTCTCCCCCACTTTGCCTATGGGGGTGTGTCAGAACATTATAGCTTGTACATTTGTGTAGGCTGTAGTGGGGTAGCCCATAAGGGGTACGACCCAATTAGGGTTAGTACTTGTACCCAACTCTTTCATAGTTCCATCATTCCTCATTCTTCATAGGCTAGCTAGGACCTTTCGTATTCCACTGTATTCCTATATAAACCCCTGTACCGCATTGTGTTAATCACTTCTGTCGAGATTCATATCTCCTTCTACTGACACCCGACATTACTCATCAAACTTCCGCTGCTACACTACAGTGCGATCAACCTGAGACGATCCTATAAGACGGTTCAGATTGTATCAATACCGTATTCTCCCGGATATAACACCCTAGGGTATAGCTAAAAATACAGGGAAAAAAATGGGGGGGGTCTCCTCATAGGAAAAAAATACATAATACCCGGGTCTTTACATATGGCATATTTTAGTGTTAGTGTTTTTTTAATTAGTCAATGTGGGTGTTTTGCTGGTCCTTTTAGCATCACTGCCTGAGGCGCGAATGTGAGTATCGGCCTCGAACTTCATCGCCCTCACGAAAATGCCATGTGGTGTCAGATTTATATGACATAGCTATTGTAGGCTATAGTGGGGTAGCACATATGGGGTACAGCTTTCTGGGGGTTCATATTTGTACCAAACTTTCACTTAGTCATTCCATTCTCGTTTCAGTCTTCTCATGGTATCGAGCAGGTTCCCTCGTGGGAACTGTTCCTAGGGCCCACCAAGTCGAAAAAAAAAAATTCCTGCCCGGAGCGCACTCAGTCCGAGTCGCGCTCCTCTCTCTGCTCCCGTCGAGCCGCCCTAGCGGCTGTGTCCCGCCGCCCTAGCGGCCCCGATCCGTCGCCCTAGCGGCCCCGTCGCCCTAACGGCCCCGTCGCCTAGCCCTACGGCCCCGGCGCCGCCCTTCCCGGCCCCGATCTGCCGCCCCGCGGCCCCATCGCCTACCCCCCGCGGCCCTCGCGCCGCCCTTTCCCGGCCCTGATCAGCCGCCCTGCGGCTCTGTCACCTACCAGCGACCCTGGCCCCTTCCCCGGCCCCGTCGCCTACCTGCGACCTCGGCCCCTGGCCCCGTCGCCTACCTGCGACCCCGGCCCCGTCGCCTACCTGCAGCCCCGGCCCTGTCGCCTACCTGCGGCCCCGGCCCCGTCGCCTACCTGCGGCCCCGGCCCCGTCGCCTACCTGCGGCCCTGGCCCCGTCGCCTACCTGCGGCCCCGGCCCCGTCGCCTACCTACGGCCCTGGCCTCGTCGCCCGCCCGAGCCACCGAGTCGGCCCAGCCGCCCGCACCGCAGAGTCGCCGAGCAGCGGTTGCCGCCCGAGCCGCCCGAGCCGCTGAGTCGCCGAGTCGCTGAGCCGCCCGAGCCACCCGAGCCGCTGATTCGCCCCGAGCCGCCCGAGCCGCCCCTGTCTGGTAAGAGCAGCGCCTCTGCCACTGCACTGCCCTTACCCTACTGCTCGCGCTACTAGACCACTGCTGTCATGGCCACCCCTAGTGTCCTCGCTTTTGACGCTGAGGGTCGGGCCATTGATTTTGACGTCTGGATAGATGACCTGCAGCTTTTCCTACAGTGCGATAGGGCGGACGGTCTCTCTCTCTTTGACCTCACCTCTGGCGCCTCTCGTGCCCCTGCTGATGATGCTGACGCCATTGTTTGCTCACCGTGGGCCACGCGCGATGCAGCTGCACGTCTTGCTATGCGTCGCCAATTGCCTACCTCTGAGCGTGCACACTTTAGCCAGTACAAGAGTGCTCAGACCTTGTACGACGATGTAGTTGCACGCTACTCTCCCCTGCCACTGCTGCACTGAGCTGCCTCATGCTACCGTACCTCTTTCCTGACCTTGCTGCCTTCCCCACAGTCGCTGACCTCATTACGCACTTCCGCACTAGTGACACTCGCTACCGCGCTGCGCTTCCTGCTGACTTCTGCGCCAAGAACCCCCCCCCCATGTACATCACTCTCTACTACATCGTCATCCGCCTCCCTGACTCCCTTCGCGTAGTCAGGGACCACTTCCTTTCAGTCTGTCCCACCACTCTCACTGTTGACCTCCTCGAGAAGGCCCTCTTAGCAGCGGAGAAGAGTATAGTTGCTGTAGGAGCCTCTCGTGGTGACCCGCGCACCCCCATCTTTGAGGGGTGTTCCCCCTCCCCTCTTTTGCCCTCTGTTGCCTCTGCTGCTGCGGCCGACCTCGTTGGGCTTGAGTCGGTCGGTGCGGCGTCTACCCCTAGCGGGAGACGCCGCCCTGGCAAGGGCAAGGGGGGCAGGGGCGCTGGAGGAGCTAGCGGGGGCGGTGGAGGCGGCGGTGGAGGCGGCGGAGGGGGTGGGGGGTGGTGGAGGGAATGGTGGCGGGGGTGGAGGTGTCGGCGGCGGCAGCGGAGGCGGCGGCAGCGATAGCGGTGGGAGCGGAGGTGGTGGAGGTGGCGGAGGTGGAGGTGGCGGAGGTGGAGGAGGCGGAGGTGGAGGAGGCGGTGGCGGAGGCGGAGGGGGAGGAGGTCGTGGGTCTTCGCGGAGGAGTGGCTCCAGTGGTGGTCACCGCCAGCAGCAGCAGCGCAGTCGGGAGACCCTGTCCCCTCAGCAGCTCTGTGAGTGGTACGCTGCACGCCAGCAGGGTGGGGGTACCGGTCCGTCCACCTACGTCCTGCGCACCGGCGACCATGCGGGTGAGCAGTGTGGGGGTGTGCACCCCACCCAGCTCTGCTTTGGCCGCCTGGCGGACGCTTGGCGTCACCAGTTCCTAGAGTCCACTGAGATCCCTCGCTCGGGCGAGCTGTCTAGGGCAGGGGTAGCTATCTTTGACCTTGACTTTGATGCTATTCTCTCTGCTATGTATGTTGTGTCTATTAGTGAGGAGGGTGACTGTTACCAGTGTTTTCCGCCCGACCCGGGCATTGAGACTACTGCTCTAGGTGCTGGTGACGCTGCTGCTCTTGGTGCTAGCGAGGCTGCTGCTCTCGGTGCTAGCGCGTCTGCTTCCGCAGGTGCTGGTGAGTCTGCGCTCTCAGGTACCGCGTCGGCTTCGGCCTCCCTCACCTTCACCCTTGACTCAGCGGCTTCTCGCTCCTTCTTTCAAGACCGCACCACACTCACGCCGCTTGGTCGGCCAGTTGCAGTCTCTCTGGCAGACCCTGTCAGAACTTATAGCTTACTTGTTTCTGTAGGCTATAGTGGGGTATCCCATAGGGGGTACAACCCAATTAGGGTTTCCTATTTGTACTCACTTCGTTCATAGTCATTCCATTCTCGTTCTTTGTTTTCACATGGAATCAGAGCAGGTTCCCTCCTAGGGACTGCTTCTAGGGCCCACCGAACCGCGCCCCGAGGCGCGTTTTTTTTTTTTTAGCGACCCGTCATGTCGCCCCTAGCGGACCGTTGCGCCGCCCTTCCCCTCGCGGCTACGCCGCCCTTCCCTAGCGGCCCCGCCGCCCTTCGATCGCGGCCCCGCCGCCCTCTGCTACGCGGCCCCGCCGCCGCCCTTTCGATCGAGGCCCCGCCGCCCTCGGCTACGCGGCCCCGCCGCCCTCTGCCTCGCGGCCCCGCCGCCCTCTGCTACGCGGCCCCGCCGCCCTCTGCTACGCGGCCCCGCCGCCCTTCGATCGCGGCCCCGCCGCCCTCTGCTACGCGGCCCCGCCGCCCTCTGCTACGCGGCCCCGCCGCCCCCTGCTACGCGGCCCCCGCCGCTCTCTTCGGTAGCGGCCCCGCCGCCCTCTGCTACGCGGCCCCGCCGCCCTCTGCTACGCGGCCCCGCCGCCCTCTGCTACGCGGCCCCGCCGCTCTCTTCGGTCGCGGCCCCGCCGCCACTCTGCTACGCGGCCCCGCCGATCCGCCCAGCAGCAGCCGCCGCCGCCTGAGCCGCCGCCGAGCCGCCGCCGAGCCGCCGCCGAGCCGCCGCCGAGCCGCCGCCGAGCCGCCGCCGAGCCGCCGCCCGAGCCGCCGCCGAGCCGCCCGTGCCGCCCGAGCCGCCCGCGCCGCCCGAGCCGCCTGCGGAGCCGTGCTGCTGTTCCTCTGCTGCTGACCTACCCGCCTCTCCCCGCCCGGTGAGATTTTCAGCTGCTGTCATGGCCACCCCCAATGTTCTTACCTTTGACGCTGAGGGGAGGGCCATTGACTTTGCCGTCTGGATTGAAGACCTGCAGCTGTACTTACTGTGTGATGCGATAGATGAGGTCTCTCTCTTTGACTTTGTCTCTGGCGCTGTCCCTGCCCCACCTGCTGATGCTGACTCTGCCGTTCGCTCCAAGTGGGCGACCCGCGATGCTGCTGCACGTCTTGCTGTGCGTCGCCACCTCCCTTCCTCTGAGCGTGCCCACTTTAGTCAGTGCAAGACCGCTCAGGCCTTGTACGACGCTGTAGTTGCACGCTACTCCTCCCCTTCCTCCGCTACCCTTAGCCGCCTCATGCTACCGTTTCTCTTCCCTGACCTCGCTTCCTTTCCCACTGTCGCTGACCTCGTTACCCACCTCCGTGCTAGTGACACCCGCTACCGCGCTGCCCTTCCTGCTGAGTTCCGCGCTGCGAACCCTCCTCCCATGTACATCACTCTCTACTTTCTCGTCACCCGTCTCCCTGAGTCCCTTCGTGTCGTTAGGGACCAGTTTCTCTCTGTCTGTCCCACCACTCTCACTGTCGACCTCCTTGAGGAGTCCCTGCTAGCGGCTGAGAAGAGTATTGTCGCTGTAGGGGCCTCTCGGGGTGACCCTCGCACCCCCATCTTTGAGGGGTGTGGTCCTTCCCCCCTGCTGCCCTCTGTCGCCTCTGCCGCTGCCGCCGACCTCAGTGGTTTTGAGTCGGTCGGCGCGGCGTCTGCCCCCAGCGGCAGACGCCGCACTGGCAAGGGCAAGGGGGGCAAGGGAGCGGGTGGAGCTAGAGGGGGCGGTGGAGGAGGCGGTGGGGGTGGCGGGGGGAGTGGGGGTGGCGGTGGGGGTGGTGGCGGGAGTGGAGGTACTGGTGGCGGCGGTGGAGGCGGAGGTGGCGGCGGAGGTGGTAGCGGAGGAGGCGGTGGGAGCGGTGGGAGCGACGGTCCTGGTGGGGGAGGTGGAGGTGGAGACGGGGGTGGCGGTGGAGGCGGGGGTGGCAGTGGAGGCGGGGGTCGGAGTGGCTCGTCCCAGCGGAGCAGCTCCGGGGGTGGTCAGCGCCAGCAGCAGCAGCAGCAGCAGCCGCAGCAGCAGCCACAGCAGCAGCAGCGCTCTCGCACCGTCCCCGCCCCTCCGCAGCTCCGTGAGTGGTACTCGCAGCGTCAGCGTGGTGGTGCGCTTGGTCCTTGCCCCTACGTTCTCCGCACCGGTGACCGTGCAGGGGAGAGGTGTGGAGGCGCCCACACTGCCCGCCGCTGCTTTGGCCGCCTGACTGACGCCTGGCGTCAGCAGTTTCCGGAGGCAGCTGAGATCCCCCGCTGGGGAGAGCTGTCTAGGGCTGGTGTAGCTATTTATGATCTTGATTTTGATGCTATTCTCTCTGCTATGTATGCTGCGATTGGTAGTGATGAGGATGACTGTTACCGGTGTTTCCCGCCCGACCCGGGCATTGGTACTGCCGCGTCAGGTACTAGTGAGGCTGCTGCTCTAGGTGCCAGTGCGTCTGTGCTCTCAGGTGCTGGTGAGTCTGCCCTCTCAGGTACTGTGTCGGCTTCGGCCTCTCACACCTTCACCCTTGACTCTGGAGCGTCTCGCTCCTTCTTTCGGGACCGCACCACTCTCACGCCGCTGAGTCGGCCGGTTGCGGTGTCCCTGGCTGACCCCTCTGGGGGGCCTGTCCTGTCTCGCTTCTCCACTGTCCTCCCGTGTCCGGCGGCCCCCTCTGGCACCCTGACTGGTCTTTACCTCCCCTCGTTCTCGACGAACTTGGTGAGTGGTGCTGACCTCCAGGATGCGGGTGTCCACCAGTTCACCCCTGCTCGTCAGCGGGTGACCCACTGCACGGAGGCGGATACAGGTCGCCACCTGGCTACGTTTACACGTCGGCCAGGGTCGAGCCTGTACACTCTGACCACTGCTTCTCCTCCAGGTGCTGAGTCTGGTAGGGTCACTTCGTCTGGTCAGGTGTTTGCTGCAGCGTCCAGGTCTGGTCCTGAGTCTGCCCCCTGCTCGTGCCGTCGTCTGTCTCACGAGACCCTCCTCTGGCACCACCGCCTTGGCCACCCCTCTCTGCTTCGGCTCAGAGGCATGGCCTCGCGAGTCCTTGTGTCTGGTCTTCCCCGGTCTCTCCCTCCCCTCCCTCCGGGCCCTGGCCCCACCTGTGTCCCCTGTGTCGAGGGGCGCCAGCGTGCTGCCCCTCACTCCTCCCAGTTTCCTCCGACAGAGGCCCCGTTGCAGACGCTTCACATGGATGTGTGGGGCCCAGCCCGCGTCCGTGGACAGGGTCAGGAGCGCTACTTCCTGCTGGTGGTTGACGACTACTCGCGTTACACCACAGTCTTCCCCTTGCGCAGCAAGGGTGAGGTCACTGCGGTGTTGATCGACTGGATCCGCGCAGCTCGTCTCCAGCTTCGGAGGAGCTTTGGCTCTGACTTCCCTGTTTTGCGTCTGCACTCGGACAGAGGCGGAGAGTTCTCCTCTGGCCTCCTGAGTGCCTACTGTCGTGCGCGAGGCATCCGTCAGACCTTCACGCTTCCGGACTCACCGCAGCAGAATGGGATTGCTGAGCGCCGCATTGGCATGGTCATGGACGTCGCTCGTACGTCCATGATGCATGCGGCTGCTCCCCATTTTCTGTGGCCGTTTGCGGTCAGGTACGCTGCGCACCAGATCAACCTCCACCCAGGGTCTCTCGACCGGAGACCTCCCCAGCCCTGCTGTGGACGGGGAAGGTTGGCGATGCGTCGGCGTTCCGGGTCTGGGGATCTCGGGCGTTTGTTCGCGACCTGTCTGCGGACAAACTGTCCCCTCGTGCTTCTCCCTGCGTCTTCCTGGGGTTCCCCCCCGACGCCCCTGGGTGGCAGTTTTACCACCCCACCTCTCGACGTGTTCTGTCCTCCCAGGACGTCACGTTCGACGAGTCGGTACCCTACTACCGCCTCTTCCCCTACCGCACTCCGTCCCTCCCCCCACCCCCGCTCTTCTTGGTACCAGGTCCCCCCCGGTAGTCCCCCTCCCCCCTCAGGGTCCTGCCCCTTCAGGTGTGTCCCAGGTAGACGCGGTCGAGCCTGTCGAGGTCACTGGTGACTCTGGTGCTGCTGCGGGAGCTGAGCCTGGGGGTGCGGAGTCTGGGGGTGCTGAGCCTGGAGGTGCCGAGTCTGGGGGTGCTGAGCCTGGGGGTGCTGAGCCTGGGGGTGCTGTGCCTGGGGGTGCTGAGCCTGGAGGTGCCGAGTCTGGGGGTGCTGTGCCTGGGGGTGCTGAGCCTGGGGGTGCTGAGCCTGGGGGTGCTGAGCCTGGGGGTGCCGTGCCTGGGGGTGCTGTGTCTAGGGGTGCTGAGCCTGGAGGTGCTGTGCCTGGGGGTGCTTCGTCTCGCCGGGAGCCACTCTCCCCACAGGAGCTGCGTGAGTGGTTTGCCGGGCGCTGGAGGCGTGCTGCTGGTGCAGAGGGTACTGCTGCTGCGCGCCCCCGCCGGCACTCGTACTGTGGGTGCTGGAGCTGCTGAGTCTGAGAGTTCTCCTGGAGCTGGTCCTGCTGAGGGTGTTGGCGCTGAGCCTGCCGTTGGCGGCACGACTGACAGTGCTCCTGGTGCTGCGGCTGGAGGTTCTGGAGCTTCTGGTGGTGCTGCTGGAGGTGCTGCTGGAGTGGGTGCTCCTGCCGGGGCTGTTGGTGCTGTTCCTGCTGTTTCTAGCGTCGCCGCGCGGCCCCGACCGTACTTCGTTCCGCTCCTGCAGCAGGTTCTTGGTCTTACACCTCCTCCTCCTCCCTTAGAGGGTCCGCAGCCTGTCCGGTCACAGCCACAGCTACAGCCTGCCTCCCCTTTGCCTGCTCCTTCTCCCTACGCTGGTCCGACTGGAGGTCTTACTGAGCGTCGTGAGCCTGCGTCTCGTCCTGTGTCGCCTGTTCGTACTGAGCGCGCTAGTGGTCGCGGCTCGCGTCAGCGTCCTCCTCCTGTCCCTGGCACGCACCGGATGTCACTGCGTCCGTCCACTGCTCCTCTGCGTGCCCCTTTGCCTTCTCCTCCTGCTTCCTCTCTTCCTACTCTTGCCGACCCGGAGTCGGACGCTCTTCGTGCTGCCAGTCCTACTGTCACGCGTCTCCTGGCTACTGCTGTCACTGACCCCTCCTTCGAGTCGTCTGCTGCGTCTGCCCTTGTCACTGAGCTTGTCGACTTTGCTGCGCGCTGTCGTCTAGACTACGCTGCTCGTCTTGTCACTGAGTCTGAGTCCGCCTGTCCTCCGTCCGTCGGGGGTGAGTGTGCCCTTGGCACGGACGTCCTTGAGGACACGCAGGAGGAGTTCCAGTGTCTGGCCGCCGCTTCACCTCGTCTCGCGTCTGTACTGCTAGCCCCTGAGGGAGACCCGGATGCACCAGACATCCCGACTCCGCGCTCTTACGCGGAGGCGATAGAGGGTCCCTACTCCTCTCAGTGGCAGGCAGCTATGGATGCAGAGATGGCTTCCTGGAAGTCCACAGGCACCTACGTTGACGCTGTTCCCCCTCCTGGGGCGAACATCGTCAGTGGCATGTGGATTTTCAGGGTGAAGCGGCCGCCGGGTTCTCCGCCTGTCTTCAAGGCGCGTTACGTGGCTCGTGGCTTCAGTCAGCGGCAGGGGGTTGACTACTTTCAGACCTTCTCCTCCACCCCGAAGATGACCACTCTTCGGGTTCTGCTGCACGTTGCTGCTCACCGTGACTACGAGCTGCACTCTCTCGACTTCAGCACTGCTTTCTTGCAGGGCAGCCTGCACGAGGAGATCTGGCTGCGTCGCCCACCTGGCTTCACTGGGTCTTTCCCTCCTGGTACCCAGTGGAGTCTCCGGCGTCCAGTCTACGGTCTCCGCCAGGCGCCACGTGAGTGGCACGACACACTGAGGACTACGCTCGCGGCACTTGGGTTTGCTCCTTCTACTGCCGACCCGTCGCTGTTTCTGCGCACCGACACCTCTCTGCCGCCGTTCTACATCCTCGTGTACGTCGACGACTTGGTCTTTGCCACAGCTGACACTGCTGGACTCGCCTACGTGAAGTCCGAGCTGCAGAAGAGACACACGTGCACTGACCTGGGTGAACTGCGCAGCTACCTTGGCTTGCAGATCACCCGGGACAGAGCACGCCGCACCATTACCCTGACTCAGTCACACATGGTGCAGCAGGTCCTTCAGCGCTTCGGCTTCACGTACTCCTCGCCTCAGGCCACTCCTCTGCCTACTCGCCACTCGCTCTCAGCTCTGCCTTCGGATGAGTCCGTAGAGTCGAGTGGCCCGTTTGCAGAGCTTGTTGGCTGCCTCATGTACCTGATGACCTGCACACGACCTGACCTCGCATACCCTCTTAGCATTCTCGCACGCTTTGTTGCTCCTGGGAGACACCGACCAGAGCACATGGCTGCAGCGAAGAGGGTGTTGCGCTACTTGTGCAGTACGTCGGGCATGGGGCTAGTGCTTGGAGGGCGCAGTCCAGTGGTCCTCACTGGGCACGCAGACGCTTCTTGGGCTGACGACCAGGCTACGCAGCGGTCGTCACAGGGTTACACCTTCAGCCTTGGTTCCGGCTCTGTCTCGTGGCGGGCTACCCGCTCGTCTTCTGTTCTCCGGCTCCAGTTGTGAGGCTGAGATCTACGCTGGGGCTATGGCTGCACAGGAGTTACGCTGGCTCACCTACCTGCTGACCGACCTTGGAGAGCAGCCTCGTTCTCCTCCAGTCCTGTACGTAGACAACAAGGCCAAGCTGGCCTTGTGTCGAGAGCAGCGACTGGAGCACAGAACGAAGCACATTGCTCTTCGCTACTTTCTTGCTCGTGAGCTACAGCAGCGTGGACAGCTGCGACTTGCGTACGTGGCCTCTGAGGCCAACACTGCTGATGTCTTCACCAAGGCACTTGCGCCTTGTGATCATCAGCGTTGCTGCACGCAGTTGGGTCTTGTGCCTGTCTTGCCTCACTTGCTCTCCTCTTGACCTTGCTTGTACTTTCGCATATATATACTCTTGCTCTTGTATATCTCTATATATGATCTTGCATGTGAACTGGCCTTGTGGCCTTTGAACTTGTGCTCGGAATGCGTGGTGACTTTGTGATCCACCCTGAGCTTTGCTTTGCTTTGCTTGACTGGTCTTGTGACCCCTTGTTCTCCCCCACTTTGCCTATGGGGGTGTGTTAGAACTTATAGCTTACTTGTTTCTGTAGGCTATAGTGGGGTATCCCATAGGGGGTACAACCCAATTAGGGTTTCCTATTTGTACTCACTTCGTTCATAGTCATTCCATTCTCGTTCTTTGTTTTCACAGACCCCTCTGTGGGTCCTGTCCTTTCTCACTTCTCCACTGTCCTCCCGTGTCCGGCGGCCCCCTCTAACACCTTGTCTGGTCTTTACCTCCCCTCGTTCTCTACGACTTGGTGAGTGGTGCTGACCTACAGGATGTGGGGGTTCACCAGTTCACTCCTGCGAGTCAGCGGGTGGACCCACTGCACGGACGCTCGGACAGGCCGACACCTGGCTATGTTTACACGTCAGCCGGGGTCGAGCCTGTACACACTGACCACTGAGTCTCCTCCTGTCACTTGCGTCTGGTCAGGTAGCTGCGTCAGGTCAGGTGTTTGCTGCAGCGTCCAGGTATCTGGTCCTGAGTCTGCCCACTGCTCGTCTCACCTCCTGTCTCAC